AATCTCCCTGGACAGGTCATCCATGCTCCAGCAGATGGCCCACAGCCCCAAACACACAGGCAACACTAAGTGGACTCAGTGGGTTTAAAACCAGGGCACATGAAGTTTGGAGGGAAATGTGGTAGGGGGACAGGGGAGGAATTGGAGGGGAGAAAATGGGGGGTGGGTGGATGTAGGCAAAACACATGTGCATTTATGAAATTCTCAAATAGTAAAATAATTAGAGACATGCATAGAACAAAGTGGTTAAAAAGGAAGGGAAAATGAAAGAGGAAAGCTAGAAAAGGAGATTGTGAGAAAGAGGGAGGGAGGGAGGGAGGAAGTAAGTTATAAAACGAATATTGGTCAAAAACGCTAACAATCATGAGAGCTCTTAGCAAACAACACTGGGGACTTGCTCTATCCAGGAAGATCACAAACCTTCAGTCTGTAAAAGATGCTGGATCTGTGAAGCACAGCAGAGGGAAAGGCAGTAAGGTCTGCCTGCATCTCTCATTCAAAAGATGCTTGTCAGTGTGCTATGGTGTTGACATGGGATTTGGCCTAAAACAATGATTAACTACATCAGTTAGACAGCATGGCTCTAAGGAGGGAAATCTATGCACTAAAATCATCTTTGCCACAACAGGAAGTGAAGAAACGCCAGTGCAGGGCGGGGTGTAGCTCAACAGTACAGCACTTGCCTAATACACAGGGCCCTGGGTTAATCGCATGCACACCATGCACACGCACACACACAGACAGGCACACAGACACACAGACACACACACACACACACACACACACACACACACACACACAATGACGCATACATCTTTTGTAAATGTGGATGTAAATCTCAGAATATCTACAAGAGCTGGAAGTGGGGGGAAGGAAGTGGGGGAAGAGAAGAAGACGGAAGGAAGCGAGGGGAGGGAAGTAGAGGCAGTGTCTGTATGTTTGCTGTTTTTACAAGCCTTTAAAATATGTAATATGTATTCAAGTGATAATATAAAAATGAGCTGGATTTTTTTTTTTTTTTTGATGCAGGGTCTCCCTGTAACCCCTTGCTGGTGCCGTAATTCACTATGTAGACCAGGCTGGCCAGGATGCCTCTCAAGTGCTGGAATTAAAGGCATGAGCCACCACACCTGGAGATAAAAATATATATTTTTAAAAGTGGATGGATGGGGTTGGGGATTTAGCTCAGTGGTAGAGCGTTTGCCTAGCAAGCGCAAGGCCCTGGGTTCGGTCCTCAGCTCCGAAAAAAAAAAAAAAAAAGACAAAATAAAAAGTGGATGGAGACACAGGTCATGGAGGAGGAAGAGGGGTGGTACGAATCATGTGGCGATGGGGCCTAGGCAGCCATGTAGGCAGGTCCACACACAGCCCAGGCCTCATTGCCCTGGTCTCCCCAGCTTGGGGCAGAGGCCAGTACTGATGATAGGGGTGAACTTACACAAACCTCAGTGATTTGGTCTACCACACACCTGGACTCAGGTCTGCGCAGATGGAACAGCCTTCTGCATGGGATTAAATCAAGCACAAGATGTGATCAAGAGACACAGTAAACACAAGATGGTTTGGGCTGCTGCTGCATGACAGTAAACTGGGGTTATCTTATTTATATAGGATGAGTATCTACTAAAATAAGGGCAGAAATATAGCAAAGTAAATACATAAACCAACATAGTAAATTATGTTTTGTTATTCAGTTTTAACTACTATAACAAAATGCTTGAGATAACCAACTTGTAAAGGAGAAAGGATTGTTTTGGCTCACAGTTTTGGAGGTTTTATCCATAGTTGGTTCTAAGCTATGACAAGACAGCACATCATGGCAGAAAGTGTGTGATGGACACAGAGGGGACAGGAAGGGACTGGGGTACTACTATCCCCTTCAAGGGCATACCTCCAGTGACCAGAGACCTCCCACTAGGCTCCGTATCTCAAAGGTTCTATAACCCCATGATAGTGCCACTCCAGGGATCAAGTCTTAAACACATGGACCTCCATGGGACACTGTATATCCAAACAATAGCAATATCACACCATGTCATTCTGTGCTGTGCATAACTGTGCCTGGGCCTAATATGGCTATCAGTGCTACAGTTTCTCACATTAGCACCCCATAAACTCAGGGTTGACATGCTGTGCATGTGTGGCATCACAGTCTGAAGTCACTAGGCTTCAGAAAATCTTTCTCCACTCCAGTGGTATGGAACTGCCATTGTGTGTGTGGCCACTGTTGACCAGGGCATTATTATGCAGTGTGGGGCAGTCAGCACACAGGCAGGAGCAAAGGTTGGACAGCAGGTCAGGACATGTCCTGAAAGAAGGTAGGAAGTAGATTTGGCACAGACCCGGCTTGGTGGGAGCAGGGTCCAGGTTAGAGGTGGTAACTGAGAAGACACACTTGGGGTTAGGAATGCAGGGCAGGAACCAAGCAAGGCCTGTGTTGAGAGGGGCAGCTAGAACTTCAGTCAGACCATCTAAGCAGGGAAAAGCTGTGTTGCAAGGGAATATGGCCTACTGTGTGCTAAGCACAGATCTCCCAGCAGGAACAGGGGAGTGTAGGATTATTACCCAGCTGACGGCACACTTGTTGCCCCTGCACATGGGGCTGGGCTACTCCAATGACTGGACCCCCACAGCAGCTCAAAGAACGGGTCCTAGACTGATACCAGACAGGTTGTGAATTGATTATATGCCCCAAATTAATGCTGAAGTCCAGAGCCCCAGGACTTGAGTATGTGACCTTATTTGAAAATAAGATACTTTGCTGATGATCAAGTTCAACTGAGATCACTAAGCAGGCCCTAATTCAGTAGGACTGATTAATATTGTCAACTTGACAAGATCCACAATCATCAGAGACCAGCCTCTAGGCATGTTTGTGATGGATTTTCTAGATCAGGTTAATTGAGGTGGCAGGACCTACATGTGGGCAACACCATTCTCTAGGCTGGGATCCTCAACCTCATAAAAGGGACTGAGCTGAACACTGGCTTTCATCCTGCTCTGCTTCCTGACTGCAGACACTGTGACCAACTGCTTCAAGCTCCTGCCACCATGGCGCACTGTACCCTCAAACAGTGAGGCAAAACAGACCCTTGCTCCTAAGTTGCTTTTGTCAGGGTATTTTACCACAGCAGCAGGACAAGCAGCTAATACACCTGTTTTGTTTTGTTTTGTTTTTCCCAAAAAACTAAAGGGACCTGTTGTTTTGAAAGGGAGTCTTCTGCAATCAACACCCAGGTGTTTTTGTGTCTCAAAGAATTTAACAATACAGAGTAGCGGAAGCATGGATTATTAAAGGTCAAGAGTATAAGCACATCTGCAGAGTGAGAGCAGGTGCAGGCAATCATGTGGCCCAAGAGCCCCATTTTTTTCAAGTGTGGGGCGCGTCCAGGAGTTTTCTTTTACAAAAGGGGAAGGAGGAGTTCTCAAAAGGGGCAAGCCTTGGTGGCTGTCATGGGTGATTGATGTGTCTGTCTGTTGGGGTCTTCACAATCCTTGGGGAGGTCCAATACAGTCCCCAGATGGCCTTTCTTGGCTGCTACGTCCTGGAGTTAATCTTCTCGTGGCTCATAATCACAGGTGTCTGACCCTAACTTTCCTGTCTCATTTTGAAATGGAAGTAGAGATACCAGAGGAAGGCCAGGTGAAAGATAGAATTGTGCTACCACAAGTCAAATGTCAACAAAGACGGCTGCCAAGCACCAGAGGTCACAAGAGAGGCCCGAATAGAGCTTTCCTGAACATCCCTCAGAAGAAACCAGCCTCATCTTGGTCTTGGATTTAAGGTTCCCAGAAATGAGGAAGAACAGACTCCTGTTAGCTAAACCTCCCAGCTTGTGGCACTTTACTATGGCCGCCCTCAAAAGCATGCAGGCCTGGCTACTCTCTTGTCCCAGCAGGTGTTGACAGACCTTCTCATGTAACTGTGGTTGCAGATACCTCAGACCAAGCCCAAGTGCCCTGCACCATTCGCTTATGCAGAGTCTACAGCCTGCTTTCTGCAGGAAGGGCCTTCCTACAGCTGCAGCAGCTTGGGCAGGCTGCCTGGGTCACCCATGAATGGCCAGAGCATGGAAGAACTTAAGAATTGTTATTGCCACACAGGGCAGTGAGACCCTGCCCACTTCCTGCTGGCTCTGCCTCCTAAGACCCAGGAAGACTTGACCACCTGGATGCCCTAGGCCCATCACCACCTGACAGGGAGGGATGACACAGGAGAATGCATCCTGGAGATGAGAGGCACCTGCCCAGCAGAGAGACAGGAACAGTAGCTCCCATGGCATGACAGCTGAAGCATGACTGGCAGGTCTCCTGACCTGCCACTTGTCCTCCATAAATGCTGGTTCTCCTCCCTTTCTGCTCAAAACACAATTCTCCTTTTATATGTATATGGTTCCCACATCTGTGTATTCAATCAACCACAGATCAAAAATCTTTTTTTAATTCCAGAAAGTTCTAAAAAAGCAGAACTTGAATTTCCCACATACAGAGCACTAGAGGCCAGGTGAATGGCACAGGCATGCCCACCATTTCCCAGATCCTTAGTCTCCTCCAGCACACCTTGTCTCAGCGTTGTTTGCTGCAGGTCTTGGTCCTGTGCTATGCTGTTAGGCCTGCACTGGCCATGTCTGTACTGAGCATGGGCAGTTTTCTTGTCACTGTTCTCTGAACAACACAGTAGAACAAGTGTTTGTCTAGCAGTTACAACATAGCAGGTGTTAAAATCATCTGAGGAGGCTCCATGCAGATATAAAGCCATTTCACATAAGCAACTCCAGCATCCTCAGACACAGTTACCATGGAGGTCCTTGGAACCAGTCTCTAGGGACAATTGTAAATGTGATTTGTGAAAACCGACAATGATAAAAATTTAATGTAACTGATGTAGGCCTTTGTCAGAGAAAGGGGAGGGTCCTTGAATTCCTGCTTAGCACATTAATGGAGACTAGTCTCTAAGGCACATCAGTCAAAGCCCAGGCTAGGAAACGCATCCTACTCACTGGCAATCTCCACACAGAGAACGGCTCTCCCTGTCGCTGTCTGCAGGAAAGTCTGTCCTCCACGGTGGTCCACCTGCTGGAGTTTCAGTAATACTTAAATATGCAGAAGACTGGAACAGAAGGATCACAAATGGGGCATCAGTGAGCTGACAAAGCAAAGTGCTCATTCAGAAATACAGAAATACAGCTATATGCTAAAGTAACAGTGTTAACAGCCCTGAATCTCCAACGCTGCTCAAGACAGGATCAGAGCCTGGATTCAAGGATCAGATTCCAAGATAGGATCAGACCTAAGATTCCCCAGGACAGGCAGACATTTGGAAATACAGTCTCCTACTCATTGTGAGTCTGCCAATGTCTCCCAGGGAACCCTGGTATCCACACACAAAGGCCAGCCCAGATCAGACTGGTAACTAACTGAAGAACAGTTTGCAGCCATGCACAGTCTGGCTTCACGCTGAGTATATGGAGAATGGATTTTTCAAACTCTTTTGCAGGAAGATCCTGGAAACTCTGCCCATTACTATTTCAAGTTCACTGGCTCTCTCTTGGGGGAAATGAAACACATTCATCAAGGCTCTGTCCCCAGCTTGTTTTCCCAAAGTAGTAAAATGTTACACAAGGTCCAGAGCTTGGTGTGATTCAAGTTATTTGTCTTAAAATGGTGTTTGCCACACATGGATGGAATGATTCTGCCAAATACACAGAACAAATACTCTGCAAAGAAACAGTGACAGTTCACTTGTGTCAGTGCCCAGAGTAAGCCACCAAGTGTGCCCGAGTCACCTTTGTCCTCCCTGAGCAGCCCTCCACTAGCCAGTGCCACCTGATTTTCCTCCAAGATCTGAGACACGCACTTTAGTTCCCATCTTAGCTCTGCCCCAGGGAGAGCCTGGGAAGCCTACACACCTGGCTTCTTGGTTGCACCTCAAAGGATGCTGGGCCCTACCTCATGCACCTGCAATTCCTCCCACCCTCACCCCATCCTCTCAAACTAGGGAGCTGATCCTATGGGCTAAGAGCTTCCTTGAGCTTTAAAGAAGGCTGCTGCTAGGTTCTGTCCTAATGCTTCTTCAGATCTGTTTTCTGCCCTGCCCATGGAGCAGGCCACGCAGCTGGAGCCGCCCCATCCTCTGCGACCCACTCTAATACCAAAGGATGAGGGCAGGGCTCTGTGCATCTGAGGGAAACACAGGCCAATTCACACTTGTGCCTGACCTACCATAGTGAGCATGGGAAGCTGGCTTTTGCTGGGATTCTCACAGTCTGGGTGGAGGCACAGTGCAGCATTGACCCTGAATCACAGTGTGCAAGATGACTCAGGCCCAGGTTCCGCCCACAGCCTTACTCCAATGCACCCACTGCCCTACCCCTTCCATGTTTCATTCTACCACAATCTCATCTGAAGCATTTGTTTGTTCTAGGGAATCTTCCAGCAAAACCGAACTAGGGATGCCTCCCTGAACCATGGTGGTGACACCGTTCTGAGCCCAGCCTGGTTTCTGAATTTCCCACAGTGATTCCTGACCATTTCTCTGCTCCCCCAGACCTGTTGTTCCCCTGGGGACTGCCAGCCTCATGGGGGGCTAGCCTTAAAAGGCTAGCAATACTGCAATAGTCCAGCAAACCTCTGAGGAGCTTCCAAGAAAAGAGAAAAGGTAAAGACAAATACAGAGAGAGCGGAGGGGAGGGGAGGGGAGGGGAGGGTATTGCAGAGATGGCTCAGTTTTTAAATCGTTTGCCGCACAAGCATAAAGACCAGAGTTTGGATTCCAGGAACTCATGTAAATGCTGGGTGAGTGTGGCAGCCTACCTGTAATTCCAGTCTCTGTAGACGGAGACAGGGGATCCCAGAGTAAGTTAATTAACAAGACTAGCCAAATCCAGGCGCTCTGGATTTGATTGAAAAACCCTGCTTCAATGAATAAGGTTGAAGAGCAATCAGGAGTGAGTCCCAATATCAACCTCGGGCCTCAACATGCACACACACACACACACACACACACACACACGCAACCACACATACGTGTGCACCCGCCCCCCCCCACACACATACACACATGAAAGCAGAAAAAAATAACTGAGGGAAGCACTTTGAGGATGGGGAAGGATCATCCATGACAGTCAAAAAACAAGCCACCACAGAATACATAGTGGAACCCCAAGAAAGCTTAGGTCTCCAGGTTTAGGCAGACTCATGTCACAGGCAAATGGGGCCACCAGAGGTTTCAGGCTATGGTTACTCTGTCAGTGAGGTGCAAGATGACTTGAAGGGCAGGGCTTACCTGGGCATGGTCCAGAATAAGGCAGAACTTTCCTGTAGGGCAGACTTGCAGGACACTCACTAAGGAGCTCCCCCAACCCAAGATGTGCCAATAAAGCCATCCAGGACAGGGGTGAAGATAAAAAGGCCCCCCTAACTTCTGCTGCCTCCCCAGGGTCCTGGTCCTATATCCTAAGTAGAGATGGAAACATGCTTGACCTGTCAGCCCCCAAAGCACAGATGCCTATCACTGTCACACTGCACAGCTGCCCTCACCAACCTGCAACTGCCACCTGCACGGTGTTCCAGAGGCTAAAAATACAGCCAGGCCAAGTTCTTCCCCCAGGAATGTCCTGGGGGAGACAGAGGCTGTCTGGGAGCCAGCATGGCTGCAAAGTTTCTTTCATTCCCCCTCCACTTCACACCATCGTGGGGTGGGGCACCTGGGGCAGGGCTCAGGCACTCGGCTTCCTTCATGTTCTGCTGCCCTGCAGACAACCCTCCTGGCTAGGCACCCCAGGCATCCTGCCCTCCCTCCTCTGGCTGGCCATGCTCCAGGCCCACCCAGGAAGCACATTTGTAGGGAAGTGCAAGCCACTGTAGCCACTCAGAGTCCCCACAATTGTCGACTGGTAGCTGGTAGAGCTCAGTTCCCAGGGCCAGTCACGGCCATCCCCCGAGCCATACCTGATCCATAAAGCACTGGGAAGGCAGGACAGGGCCTCCAGCATCCCAGGCCTGTAGCTCACTGCTTCCGGTACTAACCATTGCAGCCCACCTCACCATGAATGCTGATCAGCTGGGAAAAGCCAAGCCAGGCCTGCTGGAAGGTAGGTGACTTGGCCCACTGAGGGAGGCACAGGTGTGGCCTGTATCCAATTTCTATCCCTGGACCATACCCTAGAGGCATGGCTCCTTGCTAGAGTCTAGGAATTCCAGTTCAGGGCCACCCCTCTCACTGGATTCACCACTTGTCACAGTTATCATCACACCCACACAGGTCAGCAAGCATATAGACAGCTGCCATTTAAAGGTTCCACTGTGTTCAAAGCCTCCCTCTTAGGAGGCTCAGCAAGCTCGTTCTCTCCCTGGTAGCAGAAGACTTCAGCTGGAGTTAAATCCAGGTCTACAGACACAAATGGGACTGTGCAGCACAACAGAAAGCAGGTACAGGGCACAGGGTACCTGCTAGCAAGATGGCCCCAGCTCTAGGTAATCACAGTAGCTAGCAAGGGCCTCCTCCACACACCACTCAGTCTATAGACACCGTGTCCCAAGTGAGACTCCTGGAAGCCCTCATGCTCTCTCTTCCTCTGAGAGCCAACTTGGGACCCCTGATCCATGGAACTGGAATTGCTCCTGTCCCTACCCAAGCCCAAGCCCTCCCATCAAGTTGACAGCCACAGCCCTTAGTTGCTTAGGCTGAACCTTCAGTGCCAGTTTGGACTCATCTCCTTTCCTTGCCCCCACATATGTCCATGATGTCTCCAACTCTGAACTCCACTGACATTCCTAGCACTGTTTCTGTTCCCATCATGCTCTGGAAAGGCATCCATACCCTGGATGGTGACAGTAGATTCTAGTAACTCAGTACAACTTCCATGCTGATCGGTTCTACTCCAGCCTCGGAGCACCAACCCAAATGAGCCTCCCCAGTGCCATGGTCTCTGGGGCCTTATGCCTCTTGCATCTGCCCTCTAGCTCCCCCATGATCTGGTTTCCTTGTCTTCCTTGAACATACAAGCGTCACCCAAAAACCTTTTCACAGACCATTCTCTCAGATCTCCATACCCCTCCCTTTTCTCTGCCATGCTTCTGTGCAGGTGCCAGTCTCCTTGAACACCCTATTAAATCCACAATATGCTGCCAGTCTATCCCACGCTTTATGCTTCTCATGGCACTGAATACCCCAGAACATACTACCTTCCTTTATTGACTACCTCTCTCACTGGAAAACAGGCTCTATGCAGGCAGAACTACACTGTTGCAGACACTCAAATCAACAGGAGGACCTCTGAAAAATGCCTCTGCCTGTTTCAAATGGTCCCAGGAGCCAGGCATGTTTTATGAGCATACCCCCATAAACAGCTGCTCAGCTCCAGGTCTGCAGCTCCATGTTCTTCAGAATATCAGTCACGTTCTGAAAGCTCTGAAGGTAGCAGGACCCCCAAGACAAGTCTCTGGGATAAAAGAATTTAGATCAGTTGTCAAAAGCACTTGAAAAAGTGTTAGTCATGGGGTTCTGAATGCCTCAGAGTGTAGGGCAGGAGGGACCTGAGCCAGATCCGGCAGTGAGCGGGGAGGGGTACACAGGGAAAAGGGTCTGGGAGCTGGATTCTGATGGATAGGCATCCTTTGTCCAGCAAACTACAGTTTGGGTCTTTCTTCCTCTGGGATGACCCCGGTCCCAGTGGGGAGAAGAGCTGGCAGAGAATGAGTGTCCCTGAGGGAGTCTCATTGCTGAGGGAGTCCATTGCTGAGTGACAGCCCTGAGGGAATTCTATTCTTGTCCTGTCCTATGAAGCCATCCAAAGCACAGGAAACAAGTCAACTAGCCCAAGGCCACACAGCTAAGTCTCAGTGGAGTCAGGACTAGTGTTCTCTCTACCATGGAGCTGCTGTGCATCTACCACCTGCCAGAAGAGGGACCTGGGCTCAGTGGACTGCGGGGTCACCACATGGCTGCAGTCACACCTGTTTACTTTTCTGTTTTGTCAAGAATGTTGAGATTCTGTTTTATGCCAACAAGACAGTTCTCCTTAACTTTTCTAAAAATGTCCTCAAGATGGTCAAAAGGATAGAAAACCATGGAAATGTCACAGTTGTGCACAAATTCCCCAGATGGAC